GAGCTAAGTTGTAGCTCACTGGGTAGAGTGCTTGCCTAGCATGCATAAAGTCCTGAGTTCAGTTCTCAGTACTCCTGTAAGACAACATGCTTGTTACTGGCATCAGAAGCTGTTTATAGTCAATCCCCGAATCCAATGATGACGTCATCCTCCCTAGGGGGACAAGGACCCTCTGTGTCTGTTGCCATGGCAACCACCGCCCAGTGCACCTCACCTGTGCACCTTGGTGCACGGCCCGAATAAAAGGCAGAGACCCCCAAACCCCTTGCCCCTTCTTTTCTTCCTTCTCCTCTTCCTCACTCCCCCCAATAAATCTCTTCTCATGGGACTGTGTTGGCCTGGCGCGATCTGTCTGGATATGAGCCACCCTCTAACACAACACTTGTGGTCTTGGTGATCCAAGCCATTTAGGAGGTAAAGAATCTGAGTGGGGGGAGGGGGGGAACTTCCCCATGGCTTGGTGTTAAAAATAATGTATTTTGCCGTTTGAGCTCAAGAACCTCTTGCTTCTGCCTTCAGAGAGCTGAGGGATTACAGGAATGGGTCGCCACACCCAATTTAGAGATGAAATCGTTTAAAAGAGAACTAGATCTGTACGGATACAATGACATGGTCTTTGCTGCTTCCCTGAACAAAGCCAAGTAGAAAGAGGAAGAGACCCTGCTAGGCCTTTAATGACGCACAGAAATGGATGTAGGCTGGTGGTGGAAAAAGCTGAGCTGAGATTCCAATGAAATCATCTTTATTAGCCAATGTACAAAATTCTCGGCTCCATGTGGGCTCCAGCGAAGATGTATGCAAATCTCCCCAGGAAAAAAAGATAAAGACCTAATTTCATAACATTTCCATGGAATTGTGTATGTGTGTTCTAGTAGAGTATGTGGTCTAGCTATGGGGTACAGGGCTGGAAGGCACTGGGAGGGTGTAACTCAGTCTGGGACTGCAGAGATAAGAAGGAAAATCTGTTTACTGTTTCCTGGTCCCAGGGGTAAGTCTGAGCCCCAGGACAGAGGGCAGAGGCACTGTGCTGAGTAGTTTCCTGTTGACTTTACATAAGCTTAGGTCACCTGGGAAGACGAACTTCAGCTGAGAAAATGTCCCTATCAGATTGACCAAGTACCTGGGACATTTTCTTGATGAATGATTTATGCAGGGAGGGACCATCCACCGGGGTTAGTGCTACCCCTTGGTACAGGTGGTTCTCGGTTATACAAAAAAAAAAAAAAAAAAAAAGACAAGCTAACAAAACATGAGTGCAAGCCAGTAAGCATAGTCCCTGCAGGTTCCTGCCAGGCTTCATCCAGGTCTTGGCTTCTCTTAGTATCAGACTGTGGTGGGGATGGGTAAAACAATAAGCCCCTCCCCCTCAAGTTGCTTTTGGTCATTGTCTTTAACAGAGCGCTAGAAAGCAAAGTAAAGCACGCATTAATTGCGCGGCATCTCGGATCTCTCCCGGACAGCATCTGAGCTATAAGTCTGTTCTGTGGATGCAAATCGCCTGTTTATGAGTAAACAAAACCAAACTCGCAAAATGAGCAACACAGCCACTTCAGGGGTAGAGGCAAAGCGCAAAACTTCCACATTTTTCCAAACTACTGTTAAATCTGTTACATCTTTCAGTTAAATCTGAAAAGCACAAGGTAGTTTCAACCAATCTGGCCCTAAGGTCCTTGACCTAACCCGGCATCCATACATGCTGCCCCAAGTGTATCCCATCCACACAGGCTGGTTTCTAGCAGGTGAAACTTGCAGACCAAAGCTAATTCCCGCTTTGTTTCAAAGCAGCCCTCAGTCTTTACCAGTACCCTGGGGCACAAACTCAGGAAACCGAAGCATTCTTTGTCTCTCAGCTGAACTATTTTGCTCTGGGCTTTTTAATTTTTCCCATTAAACAGAGAAAGGCTTCAGCAGCATTCCTACTCAGAGAAGCAGCAGCATTGCTGTCGTCGTCCCCCCCATCCCCCCCCATCCCCACCCCCGACCCCAGCGTGCCTCCTGCCCCCACCCCCACTCCCGCGCGCTCTCCCCGGCCCCTTGCCCCTCGCCCCCTGCTTCCCACCAGCGTCATATCCTTTGTGCTGGGGAGGCAAGCTTTCAAGGTGTCTGCGTGTGTTTCTCGGTCAGAGCCTGCCCCCTCAAGTTAAGTGAGCGTAAGTACAGTTCAGCTCAGCAGCCTTCCTGCAAAAGCCTCGGCTTCCGGGAAGAAGGAGGAAATAGGTCTGGGAGTTTTTAACTTGAAGCCTACTTTGGGCTGAGAAACTTTCTAGAGGGTAGAGTGAGTGGCCATCTCATTTGCTCTGGAAATAGCAGAGAAAGAACATGGACTCTTCCTCAGAGCTCTTCACCGATCCAGAGGCCTTTACACATAGCTATGCAAAGTCGAAACAACCTTTCATTTTTTTATTAAAAGTTTATTTTCATTAAAAATAATTAATGTTTTACTTAGGATATACAAAAATGGGTTCCACCTACACTATCCTCTCCCCCAAAACCCCACTGATTCTCTTTCTCCCCCAGATATCTCCTCTTCTGCTTTTATGCCACAAATTTGTGTGTTATTAGCTTTCAGGGAATGAAAGGGGAGGGCGCATGCGTGTGGGCACACACACAGACACACACACACACACCACACAGCTTGGGGTTTGGATGGGTCACTCATTTCAGACAATAGGCAGGAGTTTAAAGGCAATGTTTTGGGCCCACAAGACAAAGGTTGTGTCTACTTTTAAAGGTGTCTAGTCAAAGTGTGGGCTGGAGGGGGCTGTATTGCGAGAAAGCAGGCTTAGTTAACACATGACGCATACAGCGTGTATGAGTGTTCAGTCACTAAGACACTGATGGAAGAGTGGGGCCATAGTCAAGCTGCTTCAGATCCCACGTGCCCAGTGGAGGTCTAGGCCCTGCTAGAATCCTTCTCCGCTTGGGTCTGAAGCATCTGGGTACTCCGTATCATGTGTGTGTATAGGGGAGCTGAAGAAATTTGTCTCTGACCTTTACATATTTTTAAAAAAGATATCACAGTATTTGCACTCATTCTTTGAGAATTTCATACTCTATATTTGGATCATAATCACTCCTGACTCCTCCCCACAACTCCTCCCAATCTTACCCCCTCCTCCCTACACCACTACTTGATTTCTTCTCTCTCTCTCTCCTTCTCCCCCTCTCCCCACCCTCTCTCTGATATTACCTCACAGCAGATAGTGTCCTGGTTCTCTGGCTCTTACAATCTTTCTACTCCTCTTCCGCCATGTTCTCTGAGCCTTGGGTGTAGGGGTCTCCTTTTAAATATATTGATTGGTGATAGGCACCTAAGAGCCTGTTGTCCTCAGCCTGTTGTGGGTTTCTACGATGGTCCCTGTCTGTTGCAAAAAGAAGCTTTTTTGACCTCAGGTGAGAGCTACTCTTATCTGTCAATTAAAGGCTAAGCATTTAGAATAAAGTCAGAATGGTTTAGGAAAGTGGCTTTTCTGAAGCACCCTGGTGATCTTTGACTGTGCATACCTAGGAGCAGAATACAGAAAGCTGACTGGGCATCATGTGCCTGGGGGTAGGGGTGGGGAGGGTAAGTTTGGAGAGTCTTGCTTCTCTGCTGGGCTGATCTGGATAAACAATCTCCAGCACCAGTTCAAAGTCAATGTCTTTGATCTTTTCTCCTGATACAATTAGACATGTAGAGATGATTGTTGACTCTTCCTGAGAAAACATGAGACTTGCCTATCTGTCAGTGTTCACTTGGGCCCTTCTTTTCAGGATGATAATAGTTCCCTTAGTTACTTCCGGTATCTCTTGGTCCCAGTGGTCCGTCTTTCACCATCTATTCACATAATCTACTTCCAAGATGGTGGAAGGGGACAGTTGTCTGGCCACTTGGCTTAGAGAGAGATCTGGGGACTCTCATAGCTCTTTCTTTTTAAATGTATTGTGTGCTCATAGGTGTGTGTGTGTGTGTGTGTGTGTGTGTGTGTATATACACATGTGCCATGGTCAGCATGTGCAGTCCAGAGAACAACCAACCTGTGTCAGATCTCTTTTCCCATCATGTGGGTCCTGGGGATTGAACTCAGGTCCTCAGGCTTGGCAGTAGGTGTCTTTAGTCACTGAGCCACTAGGGTTAGCTCATGCTTGTTTCTTAAATTGAATTTGAACCAACTACATTATTCTGTCCTGTATTTACTTTGTCCTTTTGCCTTTAAAAACAAAAAGACCCTATTGAAAAAAAAAGTTCTATGTATTATTTTCATGTAATATGCAATATTTTGATTACTGCATACACTGCCAAGCCACCATTACTTTCAAGACACTGAATGTGTATGTCACCTTCCAAGAATTTACATGCTCCTTCTTTATTCTGTGGAATTCACCACTCAACTCCACCTTAAAATGACTGACCTACTTTATTGTGGACCATCTTGCTTGACTAGGGTTCAGGATGAATAGAATTACAAAGTCCTCCCTGGGGTGGGGGTTGACTTGTTTGCACAGATGTTCTAGCAGGTGTTGTCTAGTAGTAGATATTCTAGCTGGAGATAGTGGGGTGGGGGGTGCTCATTGACAAGTCTTCCTGTATGAACAATGTGTGATATTTTATAGTTTGCTTTGTAATTAATACCATCTGTATTTCATTTGTGATAAAGAAGGCAGAGTTGAACCACCGATGTCACCCATTGGGTTTTTTAAAAGATTTATTTTATTTTGTGTATGAATATTTTGCCTGCATGTATGTCTATGTACCACATTTGTATGTTATGCTCACAGAAGTCAGAAGAGGGCAGCAGATGCCCTGAAACAGATGGTTGTGACCCACCATGTGGGTGCTGGGAACTGAGTCCAGGTCCTGTGCAAGAACAATAACTGCTCTTAGCCGCTGAGCCATCTCTCCAGCCCCAAAGTAACCAGTTTTGTCCTCGGACTCCCAAGTCACAGTGTCATTTGAGTCTGTGCATGTCTTTGCTGCCTGCCATGTGGCTCTGAATGGCGTGTTGCTCAAAGAAAACTTTGCCCTTTATCGTGACTCGTGGCTTTATTCGGTTGATAAAAACTGAGTTAATGTGATGTCGCTGGACGAATCTCCAGTATGAGAAAGTGCATACATGCCTGAAGGGGGAAAAGAAGATGAGGTAAGTCATTGCTGTGAGTCTTACTTTTAATGTAAAATAAAATGACAAAAAGACTATAGGATATCCTTAGCCTGGAGCTCGTTCTAGGTGATGGTCAAGAAAACCACAGAACATGCTTCGTTGAGAGGGACAGCCCTACACGGACACCATGGAAGCTTACATTTGTCAACCATCTACCCCTGGAGATGAGAAACACTATGTTTTTCAGTTATTGCTGGGAAGTAAAACGACATAGACTTCAACTCAGTGCATGATTTGCAGGAAAGAGCCCCAGAAGTTGTCTGTCTTTTCCTCTATCTGACAGGGGAAAAATGTCTGGAAAAGTGGCACTCAAAGCACTGTCTGGTTGGAGGCAGTGAAAGCAGGAACCAAGAGGCTGGGGTAGGTACAGTTTCTGACACGAACTATATTTGGAATTTAAGTAGTCTTTTTTCTTTTTGAGAAACTTTTAATAGTTTTGAGAAATTCATCCATACATATAGTGTATTTTGAGCACATCTTTCCCATTCTCAACCTCCAACTTGTCCCTGTCCTCCGTTTTTCTCTACCAGTTTCATGTGCTCTGTTTTAAAATCCACTGACTTCACTGAGTACTCTCTGTGTGCAGGAGTATAGGGCCATCTACTGCACATGGGTAGTGTGGCAATCTGAATGAGACTGTCCCCCATAGCCCCTGGCATTTGCACACTTGGTCCCTCAGCTGGTGGTGCTCTGTGGGGAGGATTAGGTGTGGGCTGATTGAAGGAAGTGTGTCACTGGAGGTGGGCTTTGAGAATTTCAAGACTCAAGCCATTTCTAGTTCACTGTCTCTGTTTCCCACTCGTGGCTGAAGATGTGAGCCCACAGCATCCAGTTCCTGCCACCTGCTGTCTTCTCTCCAACATCATGGACTCTAACTCTCTGGAACCATAAGCCCAAATAAACCCCTTTCTTCTATAATCTGCCTTGGTCATGATGTTTTGTCACAGAAATAGAAAAGTAACAAAAAGATATGGTCTAACACGAACCACATCTCTAAAAGAACTGAGTCTTCCTTCCAGTCATTATTGACTAATAGCTCTTCAGCTAGAGATGAGAGGTCAGAGACCCTTTCCCTGTCTGCGTTGGAAGTTTAGCTGTATTGATTTTTGTACAGGTCTTATGTGTGCAGTAGCAGCCACTATGAGTTTATGTGTGCAACAACCCCACCATGTCCAGCAAACACTGTTTTGTAACAGATACCCACGATACCTGAGTCTCACAGTCTTTCTGTCCTGTCTCTCATGATGATCCCTGAGCTTTAAGAGGAGGAGGAGGTATCATTTAGACGTCTCAGTTAGAACTGAGTACTCCAGAGCTATAGTTTAAATAGTTTTGATGAGAATATACAATAAACGTATAATAGGACTAGAACTATTTATTAAGTATGACTACAACTTAACTTGTAACACAGTACGTCTCTTCTATTTCTTTCTCTGCATTCCGCCCTTCCTCCAAGAGTACTGCGACTCCATGATATTTACATTTCCAGTAGCCGTCAATATGTGAATGCAGGAGGGGATGGTACTTTCTCAACATCATGAAGTGTCACACCTCCCTCCCCCAGTTTAGTTCAAAAAACAATAGAAGTTCACCATTGAACATTAGCATGCCATGTCCAGCTGAAGAGCGATGACTCTCCAGTAAAGATGTAGCTAGGGCTGGTCTACCATACTCCTTAACCCCAGGGCCTTGATGACTAATGCTATAGGGATGTGTGTGTGTGTGTGTGGTGGGGGTATATGTATTTCTGTGTGTCTGTGTGAGAGTGTATGTGTGGTATGCGTGTGTGTGTGTGTATGTGGTACATGTGTGATGTGTGTGTCTGTGTGTGTGTGTGTGTGTGTGTGTATGGGGTGTGTGTGTGTGTGTGTGTGTGCGCACGCGCTCTCTCATGCCTATAAACACCAAATCCTCAGCATTGCTTTATCAGCCCTGAGCACAATGCAGAGGAGCTTAGATGCGTGGCCAGCTGGTACTGTCATCTTTTAATAATTATTATTGGGTTCTCTTCATATTCATAATCTCCCATCTTTTTTTGTTTGTTTTTTTTTTTTACATTCTTTGGCTGTATTATAACTCACCTCTGTGCTGTAGTATGTTGAAAGGTCTTAAGCATTTAGGCTTGGTAACTATAGCTGAGGAGTTTTGCTGCAGAAAAGAACACCAAAATAGTTTATGTTAGGTAGCTAGTTAGAAATCAGCAGACTTGAAGGTTGGCCCCTCATTTACAATCAGTTTAGTAACCCACTTCCTGTATTGCTGCTAGTGCAGTAATTTGATGAATAACAATTCAGAAGAGAAAAAAATCATTATGATTATTCTCCCCCGCCCCAAAACAGGGTTTCTCTGTGAGTAGCTTTGGCTGTCCTGGAACTCACTCTGTAGACCAGGCTGGCCTCGAACTTACAGAGATCCACCTGGCTCTGCCTACTGAGTGCTGGGATTAAAGGTGTGTGCTACCACTGCTCAGCCCAAAATTTTATATATATGAAAAGATAGCTACAGATGAAACCAAAGAGAAATTGGAGGTAGGTTTATTATGGCTTATCAAGGGAGGATAGTTTCCCTAAGGAAAACATAGGTTTTTATAGACTTGGTTCAATTTTTCTATGACTCCTTTTAATCTGCTCAGTTGCATGATTTCAGTGTTTGGTGGTGTTGTTTTGGTTGGGTTTGGTTTTTGAAACAGGGACTCGCTGTAGCTCTGGTTAGTCTGGGATACATAGAGATCTTCCTGTCTCTGCCTATTGAGTGCTGGGGTGACATTAAGGACATGCCCTGCCACCTTCAGCTGCTGTATTATCAAAGAGTGGAATTTAAGTTGTGCCTCTGACTGTGGGTGAAATCATGGCTTTATGGAAAATCAGAATTATCGGTTGGGCTTACCAGTCACTTCGTAACCTTTCTTCTTACCTTTTCCAGTCCTTGGATAACAAAAAGCACAACTGGAAAGCTATTCATCCCAGCAACTTTATGTAACAGTACAAAGCCTGCCTTAGCATGTAGCTGGCACAATGGTCCCTTTGGCTGTTGTACACCCTTCCCCCTCAAATGATCAAGCCCTACATTATGGCCTCTCTGGCCATTGTCTATTCTTACTCAGTGAGAGTATTTTCTTCAAAAATGGTCTGTCTACTGTCCACCCTCACCCGACAAGAGCATGGTCCTCCATAGTAGTCTCTCCAGCCATTCACCACTCTCATGCTTGAGGGTGCTGTGTATTATTCCTTGATAATGTCTACCTGTCTCTAGTATTTCATCTCATGATGCTCAGTGTCGCAAATGACCTTTTATTCCGTGTTCATAATCTATGATTCTCTTTTAAGAATACAGAATACTTGCTCATTTATTCCTTTTGTTAAAGTATGCCTGAGTTTATTTCCAAATGAATTTGGTGTTTCTGTATCTTTACAACTTCCAGCAACCAACTGGAAAGTGGCTTTGAGAGCAACACTATCCCTTTTCATAGGCATGTTTATACTTCCTTAATTTATACATTTGCCACTAGAAAAAGAACTGAAAAAAACTAATATTCATTGTAAAAAAAAAAAAAAGCCCCTGGTACAGCGTTGCCTTTCTTTTGTACAACTCGGCATTCAGTTCTATGAATAATCAACTGCAAGTTGCTATAGAGATTATGGAGATCATAATTTGAATCATGGGGTAGGAGAGATGGCACAGCAGATGAGAACACTTGCTGCTCTTCTAGAGAAACTGGGTTCAGTTCCCAGCACCCACAAGGTGGCTCACAAGGATCTGTAGCTGCCCACTTCTGGCCTTTGTGAGCATCCGGCATCACTCAGTGTGGAGTCAAAACGCTCATACACAAGCAATAAAAATAAATAACTATTTTTTAAAAAAAAATTCAAACTTAAGCTGGGCATAGTGGCACATGCCTTTATTTCTAGCACTTGAGAAGCAAAGGCAAGGGAGTCTATGTGAGTTCAAGACCAGCTTGGCCCACAAAGCAAGTTCCAGGTCAGCCAGAGCTACATAGAGGAACCCTGTCTCCAAAGATAGATAGATAGATGGATAGATAGATAGATAGATAGATAATAGATAGATAGATAGATAGATAGATTTGACTTAGTCATTAAACTCAAATAAAATGTTTCAAGTAAAAAAACTTATTAAGAAATGTGTTAAGATAATTGACCTTCTTTTCTAATTGTTCATACTTATTAATTAACTCATATTGAGAGACTTTTTTGCTAGATAGTGTTCAGGTGTTAGGAATATTAGAAGGAATGATTTCTATTCCTGTTCTCAGTCCTCATGACATGGAAACTAAACCAAGAAGGAAGGCACAGGTACGGCAATGACAGTCTCACAAGCAACCCATGCATGACTAGAGTAGATGGTCCTTGCTGAAAACGCTGTTGGCTTCCTCATCCATCCCTTCTAACATAAGTATCTTATATTTTCAATGTCCTTTCATGGATCCCTGCCCCATCACCCCTTTACCCCCTCTCAGTGAATTTTCAGCATCATGACTCTAAACTATACCTATTGCTCAAGTTCCCTTAGTCAGACTCATCCTGCGTCATGAAAACAGGCCACTCTTGCCATCTTATTTTGATTATGAGCCTGTATCCTAGGGAACCCTCTTGCATCCTTTCTCTTCATTCTGAAGGGCAGGGAGTGTTCATCCTCATTTTATTCACTGATGTGTAATCTTTTCTGTAACTTCCTCCCTTTCCTGAGACTACACAATAGCTTTAGTTTCACACCTTCTGGTCCCAAGGATTTGAGTTCAAGACATAGTATTAAAACCACAGAATGTAAGAACTTCTCTGAGCCACCATGGAACTTTCCTAAGACCTACAGCCAATGAGGTAGAAGTCAAAGTACAGGGACCAAGATGGGCTACTATTCCTTACATTCATGGCAGCATTTTCTACTATGACATGAAGACCAAAAAAGACCAAAACCTATGATGATTTCCTCATTGAGTTATGGATGCCCACAAAGGCCAAAAGCGTGTGTCAGACTTCCTGGGGCTGGAGTTACAGATGGTTATGAGGTACCTAAGGTGGTTGCTAGGGACTGAACTTAGGACCGTGGGAAGAACAGCAAGTGCTCTGAAATACCTCCCCAGCTCATTATTTTGTTTTTCTTGCTTTTGTTTCATTTTAAATTGCCCAAGATAGACCAAACTCCTTATGTTTCAAGATCCAGCCTTAAACTCCTGATCTTCTTGCCTACACCTCCCTAAACACTGGAATTAGAATTGCTTTTTAGTTACTGTTCTATTGCTGTGAAGAGACACCATGCATAACCAATGCAATTTTATAAAGGAAAGTATTTAATTGGACACTTGCTTATAGTTTTAGAGGGTTTGTGCATTTTCATCATGACAGAGGGCATGGAAGCAGCCAGACAAGCATGATGCTAGAGAAATAGCTGAGAGCTATACCCTGCTCCTGCTCCACAGGCAGAGATGACAGATAGACAGATAGATAGACAGACAGACAGATAGATAGGCAGACAGATAGATAGATAGATAGATAGATAGATAGATAGATAGATAGATAGATAGATAGATAGACAGACAGGCCAGCCAACTGACCGATGACAGACAGACAGACAGACTGGGCCATGAGATTAGATGCCTACCCCTAGTGACACACATCATCCAACAAGGCCACATCTCCCAATCCGTCTAAGCCACTCAAGCAGTTCTACTCCCTAGTGACCAAGCATACAAACATAAGAGCCTCTGAAGGACCTTCTTATTCAAGCCACCACAGTTGTGTACCACCACACTTTATTTAAAAACCTACAGTTTCTTGTATTAAAAAATCCTCTCTGGACACTCACGTAAGTTTGTTTACAGTTAAGTGGGTTGGCTTTTTATCAAATACAGATATCTCTACTTTAGCACTCTTTCTAAAATATCTTCCATGGATTATTGAAAGGCAAAAATTTATGCTAACATTAAAAGTAGAAAGTGCATGTGTGTGTGTGTGTGTGTGTGTGTGTGTGGTGTGCTATAACACACTGTCCTCATGTGTACTTTTGTAGAAATAATGAAACAAACACCCCACCCGACCCCAACTCCATTCTATCTATGCAAAGTTCTGGAATACAGACCTAAGTGCTGAGATTATCGGGGACCAAAATAAATAGTATTGCTGAGTCATCTACTCATAGCAAACAAGGCAGGAAAGTTGTAGTGGGAGATAAAGCGATGTGGGAAAAGAGCCCTCAGCCCTACAGGCTGAGAATCAAAGACTCTTATGAATACAGTTATGAATGAGAGACACAGACCCTATGTATACTAAGGATTCCTTTAACTTATTTAACCTCTGTTTTTGTCTCACCTAAATAGTACAGCTCAAAAACCATCTTACCACGTTATTTGCTAAAAAGAAAAAAAACTTACCTAATTCTACCTGATTTTTAATTTTTTGAACAATATAACTCCAAAGTCACCAAAATGGTACACATACCTATTGCTAAGATACTACAATTTGACTCACTTGACAAGCTGGCCCTACTGTGTGTCACTATCCTCTTCCAGCTCCCCACCCCGTTTCTTAAAGCCTATGTTTAAATTTGCATTAACTTGTTTTCTTACTAAACTCTAATCTTGCCTCATACTGACTCACCTTGAGGTTCTGTTCTGCTTTCTGTGTCAGGAATGTCAGAGGAATATACAGCAGAAGCTGTCTCTGAACGCACTAGCCTGCTATCAGTGGCAGATGGCAGCACAGAGCTGCATCACCAGCAGGCCTGACACAGCACCATAGATTTAATGGGCTTCAAGTGTGCATGTACATTTGCCTGGGCCCTCCTTGCTCTGTAGTTCTTTCTATCAAGCCTAGCCAGGTACCATACCAAGGGAAACAAGAGCCCTCCATGAACGAGCTTGCCACCGATGACATACAGGGACAAAATACAAAACTGGTACTTCACGCATCGGAGTCGAAGGTCATTACCTTTGATGTTTGCTTCCATGAGCTTAATGGAGTCAACTTGTTGGATAGAAGTTGCCGCAGCTGTCAGGGGCATAGAAAAAGTAGTGGAGACAGAAAAAAAAAATGATCAGGTATTCGAAGGAGAAATACCCTTCCAAATGGTTGCTTAGCAACATTACTTCTAGACCATTAACATAAATATCTAATAGACTGTTCTCTCTTCCTAGAACCAAACCTATAATTGAACTGGAAGCAACAGTATCAAACAAACGTAGTAATCCATGAGCATCTAATAATAACTGCTAGAGTGAAGTTTATCAGTGAAGGAAAAGGTTTTCTAGCTATGTGTCTGGTAGGAACATGGTGGGCATATAAATGGGTGCTAGTATATGGCAAATGAGTTAGCAATAAAATCTTTCCTACTTTTAGTATTTATTTATTTATTATTTATTTATTTATTTATTTATTTTCTGTGTATGAGTGTTTTTTTTCCTATATATATGTCCATATATTATTTGTATGACTGGTGCCTATCAAAGTCAAAAGAGACATCTGGTCCCCTGGAATGGGAGTTACAGTTGATTGTAAGCCACCATGTAGGTACTGGGAACCAAACCCAGAGCTCCTACAACAAGATCAAGTCCCAATAATAAATCTTTTTGTCTTCTTGCTAAAACGTCAATCTCTGCCTTTATCTCTTGACAGAATTCCTTGCTGCTTGGGTGGAAACATGGAACATGGTTCTTCACAACTTGTTTTCTATTTATCTCTAAGTAAAACTAATTGTCTTTCGTTAGGAATTTTATTTAATGTGAGAAGCTACTTAGCATCCACTAGCCTGGAAATGTGAGGATCATATTCTTTCTGCATATTTTAAATAAATGAGCAAAGGAATTCAAGGAACAAATAGAATTCATTCCCTTGAAAAGCAAATTAGAAAGAAATTTTGCTTGTGTGTTTGATTGATTGCTTGCCTGCTTGCTTGTTTGCTTTTGAGACAGAGCCACAGAGCTCTAGCTGATCTGGAACTTGTAATCCTCCTGCCTCAGCCTTCTGATGCTGTTATGTTCACTTGTGGTTGTATAGATGGCTTCATCAGCAGGGATCACTTAGTCTCTTTCTTAATGAATCTCCCTTTTGTCAAATTTTATTACCTAAGTACCCATCATGTATATAACAAAGGTCTTAGAACTAAAAGGGAAGTTTGTATGCTTGCATTGTGGAAAGGAGACGTGAATATACACATACCTTGTTATCCAAGAGAATTCCAAAACAGAAGATGAAAAATCCCTTTGAACCAAAAGCAAAAAAGTAAATTGTATATATATTCTATTGCATTTTCTTTTTCCAGATAAGAAATCATGTATATACTATATGATACAATCCTATCACAAAGTTATGACACCTGCTGCTCCAATGTTGATCCCTGTCCCATCAGGAGTAAGGCCTCATTCTATAACCCACTAGCCTGAGACTCATTAAATAGACCAGGCTGGCCTCAAACTTTTGATTCTCCTGTCTCTACCCCATGAATGCTGGGGTGATAGGTATGTACTGTATGTTCAACTGAACCTGTTTTCCTGCCTGCCCTCCTGCTGGACTATAGGCTTCTAGAAGGCAAGAACAGTGTGAACTCAAACAATGCCTGGCACATCACAAAGTGTTCACGGGTTGTATTTCATGAATGTGTTAATGAGCAAATGATAGAATGAAGTTGTAAACTCGTGTGGCACATCATCCTCTGCTTTAGTGTCATTTAAAGCCCCACATAGCACCCAATGGCTGAGGTATCTTAGCCTTTCTTTCAACCAGGTATTTAATAAGCATCCATCTGAGATGATACCTGAGAGGACAGCAGCTACTGAGGTTCAACATCCAATAGCCAGGAGGAAGAAGGTGGACTCCACAAGTAACTTTGTATTTAAATTTGTCTCTTGGAAAATCTTGGCTAAAGCCAATAGCATGCTACTCACAAGCCTGCCCTTCCTAGAGCTCTCAAGGCTTGTCTCCATTGCGTGCATGGTCACCATGACGACATCTATATTACCATCTGTCCATTCACTGCTGTGTAGACTGGTGCAATGCCTCTAAGAAACTCTAAGCATTTACTGAGTATGAGGCACTGTGTCAGGTGCTAAGTTATGTCTTATAATCCTCAAATATTGCTCTATAAGTGCTACTGTGATCTCCACTCATCAGCTGGGAGAACTGACGAATGGAGAGATTAAGCATACAGTTGGTATTTGAGAAAAACACACTTGACTCAAGAACCCAAAAATGAAACTGCTACCATTTCCATGACTCATTGCTCCAAGTGGTCTAGCCTTATCTGCAATAAACCATGATAGAAGACTTCTTCCAGATACATCAAAACCTAAGGATTTGTTTTTCCCTTAATTCTAAACGCTTTCTGACTACCAAATATGAAAGCCATCCTTAATACTAAGGATCGGCAAGCTGTGTGTGTGTGTGTGTGTGTGTGTGTGTGTGTGTGTGTGTGTGTGTGTGTGTGTGTGTGTAGAGTAGATTGTAAGATACATAATATCTGTTTCAGCTCCTCTGCTATTGGAGAGGAAAGAGCTACTGATCCTATGTACATTAATGTACATGGTTGGGTTCCAAGAAACTGTTATTTCCAAAATCTGGCTGCTGGTATCAGGTTGCCAGCCCCTGTTCATTAAATTCCAGGGACTTGTTTTGTATTGGTCAAGGTCAGCAAGTACTGTTGAGTTACTTCTCTTCCTCCGCTTTGTCAGAGATTTGTACAAGAGACTGTGGACTGAGTCAACCACAAGAGAGATAAAAGGTGGTTATGTGAATGCTGATAGATTTCAGCTCCACAGTGGGTTACTGAGAACATCGAGAATTCTCCTTCAGTATGATGTAAACTGCTGGGAAAAAGGGATGGGTGTGTCTTCTCACTGTCTCAATGTACTTCCTGTTATAGACCTGTTGGAGCAAAGGAGATGAAGCCATCTTCATCCACCAACCCTAGTTCTCTAAACTTATTCCAATGATATGAGTATGTAATACATACACTTATTGTTCTTACCTGGAAAGCATTGAGTAAAGCGAAAAGAACATGCCAAGCCAGATTCTGGTTGTCCACCATTGTTCCTATGCCGAAGCCCCAGGTGAGCCCGAGCAGTGGGGTTAGCACAAGAAGGCTCTTTCCCATGCGGATGGCAGTGGCCTTGTCATCCTGATTCACTCTTTCTCCAATTGCTGGCCTCCAAAGCTTTCTGAGGACCAGCAGCACCACAACCAAGTTCACAGCCACGATAGTCAACGCGGGAACAACGAACGCCAAGAGAGGTTTGCTCTTGTCAGACCAATTAAGCCAACACACATCGTTCCTTTTGTAGCTATTGCTAGGTTGGGTGATGGCAATGGTGATGATGGATATAAGGAGAGGGCACCCATAGCCTAGGCAGAAGCCAACAGCCATCATGGTAGGCACTGCCATGTGATGAAACACAAGAATGAGTCGATAAGCCAGCAGGATGCCAAGTACAAGCATCCAGAAGAACACGGCAAGGTAGAAAAAGTGGGTGAAGAACACCGCAGCCACACAGACTCCGGAAGGGCTCACAGAGGTGTCCACAGAGCCAGAAATGATAAACCAAACATCAGCAATGAGGAGCGAGAGGGCGATGTTCACCAGGCAAATGTTGCGTGTGTAGGAGGTTTGGTTTCTCTTGGTCTGTTTCCAAAACAGAGACTCGATGATCAGGCATAAGATTAGACTTGCAATAGAGATGCCCAGCCCTATGTACGTGATCCATTTTACCACAGGGACAACTGAAGAGGGAACAAAGGGTGACATGAGCATGGAGAAGGAGGTCAGGTGACTACATCGGCACAGTACTGTGTCTGGAGTTTCATTAACTAGTTGGCAGCCCGCATTGCTCCATTGCAAGCGGCTAAAGTCCCAAAACACACAGTGAGGCTGGCTCAGGTTTCCATTTATTTTGGAAAAGTTCAGAAAAACTTCACTGATGGAATAGTTTTGGATAAGTGTAGATATCACAGGACCATTGACCCGTTCATTTCCTCTCTGGGTAATGGGTAGAATGTTCCCAAAGGTCAATGAGGCCATGCTGATAATAGTCTTCGGATGTGATTTCTGGAATTGCTCTGGTTCAATAAGCACGTGGCCTCGGATAGGCAGAGAGGCATTTGGTTTTATTTCAATCTGATAGTTGTAGCCCTGTGTGCTCTGGACTTGGGTCACTGGAATCCCTATCCAGTCAATGAATTTTCCAGAAAAGTTAAGAGGTAGAGCCGTGGAAGGGATGAGAGTACTGATGTTTTCCAGCGTCTCTAGTAGCTGGGAGCTGGCGCCCTTTGCTTCTTGTAATAGAATTGTCCAGTTCGTAATGGAGGCTGAATCCAGGATACGATCAGCTATGTTGATGACGTCCTGAAACATAAAAATCAAAGTCACTTTAGGTCTTCTGATACAGGAGAACCAAGTGTCAAGGTTGGTCACTTTAAGTATAGAGAAAATGGTCATAGACTTGGTAAGTTGAGATCATGGTAAAACTCATGAATTGCATTCAGTTCTGTCATTCAACATAGTAGAAGAGTTTGGGTAAAGAAACTTGGGTCAAGACGGTAGGGTATCTCAGTGGGTAAAGGTATCTGCTCCAATCCTGGTGACCTGAGTTCAATTCCCAGAGCCCACATGATTGAACGCGAGAGCCAATTACCACAGATTGTCCTCTGGCCTCCATATGTATGCTGTGGAATGTGTGTATATTGTGAAATCCCCCCAATACACACACTAAATAAAATAGTTTTTTTAAAGTTGAGTTTAGAGTGGTCACCCCAAGTCATCTGCAATCACAGTGAGGTTTTACTTCAGCGGGGATGAAGAAACATTCTACAACGCGCAGGTGTGCATTCCTTTAACTCTGAGATGGGATCGGTGAATATGTTACAGCCCCAGGACAGAAGCATGATGTTCAACAACTTCGCCATTTTGTTCCCTTAGCTAACATTCAAATTTGTTTTATCTTATTCTACTTTATTTTATTATTCTCTCTTAGAAATGTGTTCTTTCCTAATGAGAGACAGAAATGGGGTGGGCCTTATGGGAAGAGAGGTGGGGAGGAACTGGAAGGGATAGAGGAAGGGAAAGCTAATCAGGGTTCAGTGTATGAACAATAACAATAAATATTTTCTATTTTTAAAAAAAGAACTTGTAAATTCATGCGATGGATGCTCAAATTTTAATTCATGGGTTCTTACTGTTGCTTACTGAATAAGAATATCCAATAGCGATCCTTAAGAACAGTGTGGTTTTGAATTGCTAGCTGGAGAGATGGTTCAGACAATGAAATCACTTACTACTCTTTCAGAGGACCTAAGTTTGGCCTCAAAGTCACAATCTTCCTACCACAGCCTCTCAAGTGCTAGAATTATAGACCTGTGTCACCAGGTTTTGCACTGTCAATTTGTTTGAATTGGCTTTTCCATAGTAAAAAAAAAAAAAAAAAAAAAAAAAAGAGCTCAAAGCATATAATGAACTACATAGTACATAAAGAACTTCACTGGGCAGGTAGCTCAGTAACAGAGTGTTGACCTGGCAAGCACTGGGCCCAAAGTTCAAAACTAAGTTTGGGGTCTGGGAAGAGAAGATTACTGTTTTCCCTCCCAGTCTCCTGCAACCTCTGCTCCAGCCCAAATCCACACCCTTTATTTCTCTAATTAGAAAACAAACACGTGTCTAAATAACAATAATAAAATAAAGTAAAATAAAAGCAAACAAAGCAGACTAGCACAAAGCAAATAAACAGGAAAAAAATAAGAAAAATCACAAGAAACCCATATAGATGCAGATGCACACACATTTGCCCACATAGAAATTCTATAAAACTACAAAACTGGATGCCATGATAAATGCTCAAAGGACCTGTAAGGAGAAAAAACAAAGGCCTGGTAAAGCATTATGAGACAAAGAACCTCCAAAAAGGCCACTGAGTTCATTTTGTGTTGGCCATTTCTAGTGCAGGGCATGGGGCTTGCCCTTAAGAATGGTTTGTGTTCCCAGTGAGGCTCTGTTGAAGAAAGGATATTAGTTGCTTTAGTAGTAACATATAGTGAACAAATATTAGCATGTCATTTTAAGTCAAAATTTAAATATCTACACTTAATCAGCCAAGAGAAAGGAGTTCTTAATTATTTGCTGTATATAATGAACACATAGGATCAACAGTCTAAGTTGCAATCTCCCCATGAACAGGCTGCTTGTGACGGTCCAGGTTTAAAGGAAGGGAAAGCTTTTGCACTACTGAACATGGGCATTTATATTTCTTCTCTTCCCAGACCCCAAACTTAGTTTTGAACTTTGGGCCCAATGCTTGCCAGGTCAACATTCTGTTACTGAGCTACACGCCCAGTGAAATTCTTTATACACTATGTAGTTCATTATATGCTTTGAGCTCATTTTTTGTTTACTATGGAAAAGCCAATAAAACTCACACAGGAACTGTTACATAGCTTCTCTGTTTTTTATCAAGAGATTCCCCATCATCCAGGCTTTTAGTATGCCTTATATAAGATGTAGCACTTGAAATTCAACTTTCAATCTGAGTGGAGTGGTACATGACTGTACTCCCAGCGTATAGAAAGCTAAACCAAGATGCTTTCAAGGAGTTCAAGGCTAACCTGGCCATTGTATGGCATGCCAGGCCAGCCAGAGCTACAATGTGAGACCCAGTCTCAAAAAAGCTAAATAAATAAGTTATAGATAAATAAAGTAAGCCTTCCAAGTGCAGAAAATCATACCTTCAGTGTCAAATTGGACACAGTTAAAGAATTTGCCAGTGACAGGGATGAAATGTTGCTCAGAAGTGACACCACTGTGCCCAGGTTCCCGACTGTGGTGGATGGGCTTTCTATAATGATGGTGGAAAGATTTTGCACCAAAGATGCCACACCTGCCTCTGTGATCTTGCCTGTAATCATACTGAGCTCCTAAAAATAAAAATTAATATCAATTATTAGGTTCTAAGGTGGAAAACAGAAATGCTTGCACATCATTAGACTTAAATCAGATGTCTTATCTACAGAGCAAAGTGCAACGTATCAGGGGTAGCTTATAGAGTAGTGGAAACAATGTCTTGGTTCAGTGATTCTTATATTCTAGACACCGTGCTCAATACACAATAGGGATATGTTCATTGAGCATCTTAAACACTCTTGGAAGGAAGGAGTGTTGTTTGATATTTTAGCACCAAGGAAACTGGATGATGAAAATATTGTCTGAAAGGCATTTCCAAATACATCATAATCTCAGTTACAGAAAAACAGATGATCAGCAAGCTCCGGTTACTTTGCAAGAGGTACTCAGCTAGATGTGGTTCTGCCAGTACCGAGCTCTGCCATTACTCAGGATGAGAAGCTGGATGGACACATGCCAATTTGACTTCTGGGCTTGGGTCAATTCCCACCATTTCACTGGGTTCAGAATCTCACATCTCCCTCTCAGCCCTAGTCTGTTTCTGCTATGCTAGGGTAACTTGGAAAACAGCAAGCATGAGTGTTTGTATTCATCAAGACAAGTTAACCCAGGATCTTGGATCCCCTGCCCCCAACCTCCTTGCTCCTTTTAGCTGAGTGTACTGCTCTCTGCCTGCCCTTTACATCCTGGGATCAACTAATTCCAACTATTGCCATGTTTAGAACTGGGGCAAAGAAGGAGAGAGCAAGACTAGACACCAGTGGTACCTGCTCCTTCCTCGCCGATGAGGACACAGAGCAGCAGCTGTTTCAGCTGCTTTGACAGCTCTCTTTGGGGCTTTCTGCTATGGGAGGAAGGCCTCTGGCTGGGATGGAAGCTCTATTTACTACGGATGTCAGCTATACACGCGGTGTCTGAGCCAGTCTGGAAGACTTTTCCTCCTGTGATTTGAATTCTCCTGTTCTTGACCAGTTATCTCCTCTCCTTCTCTCTCTCTCTTTCTCTCTTTCCCTCTTTCTCTTTCTCCCTTCCTTCCTTCCTTCCTCCCTCCCTCCCTCTTTCTTTCTTTCTTTCTTTCTTTCTTT